TAGTTTTTTAAACTGGGCCAATTTGCTAATGAGAAATAATTAAAAAATAGCGAATTATTTCACAATTGAAAATATTAGCGTAACAGTATCGATTGCGTAACGTACTGCGCCAAGAGCAACAACGGGATCGGCTGAGAAACAGAAAAACAGCCGTGAACATAATAAAATACATGATACGTTTTTTAAAAAGAAGTGAAAAGTCAAGTCAGAAAGCAACCCCTATTAGAAAAAGAAAATCCTTTATAAAGGAATTCCGTTATTCAGTTTAACTCAAAGTTGTCACCCCTCTCATTGCTAGAAAATATACCTGCGGAGCTTTTTCCCAAGTGCTGTGTCCACTTATGCAGCTTTTTTACCATTCAATTTACTATATCCGGTCCGCCTGTTCTAGTTTTGTCTGTCGGGCGTCATATTCAGAGCAGCACTGTATACATGTTTGACCATATAAAACAAAAGAAACAGCTGACAACTAATGATTATAACATTTTAATAATAAAGAAGAACTAAAAAAAATATTCCTATTATTAGATAGGAAATTACTGATATATAGGAAAACTATCTTTTATCACTGGACATAGACAGTGTAATCAACTCAAAATACAATGGATCTCATCGAAATACTAATTCCACTACAAAGATATGATCTGTATTATCTAAAGTCCAATTTCCTCTCAATGTAATAAACAGAAGATTCTTATATAATTGAGGTTAGCCAATAAAGAGTTGATAATTATCTTTCAAAGGTAATAATTATATTTTCAATTAATTAAGGCTTTGGTTGAGATAAAAAGTCAGTGTCACGAGCGGGATTCGAACCCAAGACCTTCGGCTAAATACGCCGCTGCTCTACCACTTGAGCTATCGTGACCTCGATCCAATTGGACACCAACTTCCCATCTCAACCCCACCTTTTGAATTTTCCCTCCTTTTTGAGATGGGAAGTTAGTGTCCGAGTGAATCGAAGTCACGATAGCTCAAGTGGCTAGAGCAGCGGCGTATTTAGCCGAAGGTCGTGGGTTCGAATCCCATTCGTGACACTGACTTTTTTATCTCAACCAAAGCCTTATATTAATTGAAAAGAATTTATTTGGTCAATCGAAACCACGAAACCAAATAGATGTAATGTATATTAAATGTAAATAACAGTTGATTAATTTGTAACCGTAAGTTAATTAATTTGTAAGAATCTGAAACAATGGAACGTTTTTTTCTGAACATCCAAATTATGTAGCAGCTAGAATTTTTACCTAGGTAAATATTGTGTTGATTACCATAGTCAAGACGGCCAATTAAATTCTATACTGAATATTTCAAAGGTTCGACAAGCCAATGATTTTGCCTCCACCATTTTGGCTTAAGATTGAGAGCCTTTTGTTGAAATGCATAAGTAGAGTTGATTACTTATTTGGAGGAAAATTTACCCATTATGTTTTCTTTTAAAATGTAATATTTGTTTATTTTACGTAACGTATTTTTTTCTTCGTTTCAGATAATATTGACATTTGTATCTTATATTGTAGTAATACAGTTATAACGATTGTGTGTGCCACACTCCTGTAAATGCTAGATGTATTTTTTTTTTCAGTAAAAATTTTTTATTCTGTTCTATTCCAACTAGCGAATATAGGCGGACCAGAAAGATCGGAAATGCCAAATTACTTCTGTAGTGAAGACCGGTTTGACACGAATACGTTTTCGGACATGGCATGAATCATTCTTAATAGATCATTAAAAAAAAAAAAAAGGTCAATAACTATTAACATGGTTGTTTTTTATATTTTCTGTGATAAGTCAAGTAAAGTAAGGTAAGTCTTGTCATACAGGTGGGCTTAACCCGTGGGGTGACATGGACGAGGGGGCAAACCTGAATTAAAATGCCCTGCCGGGATTCGAACCCAGATCCGAGTGTTGCAAATATGAGGTTGGACGCCAGACCACTCGGCCACTGTGGTCCCCTTTTGCTTTAACACTAAAATATAGAAAAATAGATGTCCGCGTCATTTATCTGCCTTCGAAAATATGGGATAATAAATTAATCGAAAACGGAATAAAAAAGAAGGATAACAACACGAAAAGAATATTAAATGTTTTGTTAAAAACTAAAGTGACTTAGTTTTTATTGGTATCGTAAATTATTTATTATGCTATCAAGTCAAAGAACAACAAGGGAAATAAATCCGCGTAACTGGCACCAGAATCGGAAGACTTGCCAAGAGCACGATTTGCCATGGCATAAAACTAATTTAATTGTTCATTAGTTATTGTAATGTATTATGCTATATTTAGAAGATTATCATTTTTGGTTAGCATATTTAATTTAAGAAATTTAAAAGATAAATTCTAGAAGAATGTAAAGGTTGTTTTGAAAATTAAATTCTCATAGGAACCCTGTTGCGAACTTGTAATGTCGAAAGTGATGAAAATAAACATTGAATTTTATGACAATTTTAAAAAGTTATGGTAAATTATTTCTTCAATTTTGGTCGTATCTGACCATTATGGTCTGTTTATCTGTCAACGAGTTTTGGACTTTCGCAATCAACATTTTGTTAGTTGATGCAAGAACACATCGGATTTTATGACTCTTTTAAAAACGCTAATGTAAATATTTTTTATCAGTAATTTATCAATCTATAAAACCAATCTTAACAGAGGGAACGATTAAAAACTTTTATTTTCCATAGATGATCCAAATTATCGTATATTTGCAGGTAAAATCGAAATAACCCTGCAACCCTTGGTCCCTGGTCCTGGGAGAAAGGGTAGAAAAAGCTAAAGACTACGTATAGGCCATACAAGAACAAAGCGCTGGCACCTTCTGGCCAGAAAGCGACCGCTTAGGTGCCCGTTCAGCAAGGATAGAATAACGGTCGAGCATCTTTTCAACTGCAGAAGGCTTGACGTATTTAGGGAATATTTTGGCATATCGTCGGACCAGTGCGTAATCTAGGGCACAGCAGCGGGCAATGGTCGCTGTTCTCAGTACTACAGAGATTTTGAAATGTATATATGTATATTTTAATTTATTGGAATGAATGTAATTTATCAGCGTGAAAGGAAGGGGTTGTTCAACCCCGCCCCGAAGAAGATCGAATACTTTGAGTTGAGTGTGGGAGACTGGAGAGTAAAAGTAAGTTATTAGCGAGAATAGAGGGTTCTGTAGTTGACAATCTAAAGTACAAAATAAAAGCACAATCAGTAACAGATTGAGACGTTCAAATGAATGTAATTTTTAAAAAAAACGCGTTAAAGACAAGATAATCAAGTTAAAAACTATTGCAAATTATTTTTTATTTCTACTCTCAACTATTTATCAATCTATCGAATTACTGAATAAGAAGGAAAATGATTCAGCTGTATTATTAGATACAAGGATACATTGAATTTTTTGACTCAATTAAAAACTTGGAAAATTATTTTTTTATCTGTACTGTTGTCTATTTACCTATGTAACAAATCAGTGAATAGCAAGGAAAGCAATTCAAAATTTCATTTTTTTAATATCTTTTGTGGTTGCAAACTTATACTGTAGTATTTGATGGAAGTACATATGGATTTTATAAATATTAAAAATAATTATAAATGATATGTACTACTTAGTGACCGTTAATTAATGATCATTTGGAGATCGTGAGATGCGATCTGGTGTGATATAGGTTTAGAAAAACATTTTCTTTGTTGTGCCAACGTTTCGATCTTTATTGAGATCTTTGAACTTCACGGCCTGGGATTTAAAAACATTGTTTATATTTTACAAATACATGTAAGATGTGAAAAAGAATTTATACAATGATGTACACAAAGTAGAAATTTTAGGTTTAATCAAAGTATTTGTTCTCTATTTTGTGTTGATAATCTCAATAAAGATCGAAACGTGTGGTGATTAGTGACCGTTATCGATAATTATTCAGAAATCGTGAGATGCGGTGTGGCGTGATGTAGGTTTCAGAAAAACATTTTCTTTATCGTGTCAACGTTTCGATCTTTAATGAGATCATCTTCAGGGCCTGGGATTTACAAACATTGTTTACATTTAACAAATACAAGTAGGATGTGGAAAAAAGTTTATTTATACAATGCCAAGTATATTTTTTTTATATTCAATCAAAGTATTTCTACTCACTCAAAGTGTTTGTCTTCTGTGTAATTTTGCCATTCAATGACACAACACTTTGAGTGAGTAGAAATACTTTGATTGAATATAAAAAAATATATTTTGCATTGTATAAATTCACTTTTTACCACATTCTAATGTATTTGTTAAATGTAAACAATGTTTGTAAATCCCAGGCCCTGAAGATGATCTCAATAAAGATCGAAACGTTTTCACGATAAAGAAAATGTTTTTCTGAAACCTACATCACACCAGTCCGCATCTCACGATTTCTGAATAATTAAAGATCGAAATGTTGGCACAATAAAGAAAATGTTTTCTAAACCTAAATCACAATCTAAACCTAATTCTAAACAAGACCGCATCTCACAATCTCCAAATAATTATAAATTTATTTTTTTTGTACTATCGAATATTTAACAATCTATCAAATCAGAGAATAACATGAAGAATGATCTGAAATTAATGTTTTGAAATAAATGAATGAATAAATTTAATTTTAAGACAGCCAAAAATATAATGACCTTTTTTATTTACCACCGATTTACCATTCTATTTCATCAAAGACCAACAACGGGTATAAATCCAAGTAACTGACATAATTATCCAAGATTTTGGAATTTGGCAAGGGAAGTGTAAAACTAATAATCAAACAAACCATTATTTTTCATTAATTTGAATATTTTACCATATGCGTGTAAAGGTTGGAGAGGTGGCGAAAGGGTGATTGTTGGAACGATTGTATGCCTGGTAAATTATCACATCCAGGAGTTTACCAAGACGGCAGTAATTATCACGTCCCTGAGATCCCTGAGATAACAAAGTAATATTTTTCCACGTCGGAAAAGGACCGAGGCGGGTTCAACCTTCGCCTTGGTGGACTCACCTTTAAATTGTGCGCTATCTGTTTTATGTAGTAGAGATCGAGGTCCTGCAGGATTTCGATCCTCTCCGGTTGCGACTTGGGCGGCTGCCCGTGGAGGCTGAGGGCGGCCAACGGAGGAAAGCACGAGTTCATCTTAGATCCGTGCTCAGTCCTGTCACCTTGTCACATATCACATTTGGGCGAGAGAAATCCGAGCCTGCCGATACAATTGTTGCTGTTTCGATCACGTTTACAATCCAAGTGCTACATGTGAGAAGCAGTCCATGACTCATATTCATAAAAGTTATATACAGAGCCAAAACTCTCGTTCAAGCATAAGAAACTATCGTATTTTATTTACTTTTGATCCATGTCGAATTCCCTAACCGTATTTGTACAGCACGCGAAAGGAGAAAACAATGCCAATTATTTACGACACAAAACAATAATATATCGAAAAATAATCATTTAAGATTGATAAAATCACTAATTCAACTTTGATTAATATTATTGATCAGATTGTAGAATAAACGGATCCGTTGGTCACACCTTCAAACGAAACCGGTGAAGTATAAATAGGAAGAATAGAAAAAATTGTGTGAAGCCCACCTTGAGATTTATTTTTATACTCTCAAACTTCGTGCCCCCACTGATACATACATGTACAAATTTTTTTATTATTCAACAGATGTGTATGTACAGACCGATTTTTGGGTTTTTCCATAAATCACTTACAATTTTCTATGTTTAACATATCGACAAAGAAAACTAACATAACTTTTTACAAGACTACAAACCGAACAGCCACAATTTAAATGAACCTAACATTGAAATTGAGACAAAATATCAACTGAAACGTCTAAATTTTTCATAAATTGATTATTTTAATTCAAGTCCGAGATTATTTATTTATTTCAGTCCCCTTAGATAACACCTGTTTTGCTGGATTCATACACAAACTGGCTCATTGATTGGGTTGTTTATTCAACTTTGACAATGTTTACGACTGATACTGAAACAAATCCACCGTGTTGATAATAGCGTAATGTCCTTCGTAAAGTCAGGGCAGAAATGAAATGCCAACTAACACCAATCTTTTCTCAACCAAAACATGTTTCTCGGCATAACAACTAACACAATCTATCACTACACAATTAATCACGTACCTTTCACGATATAAGATTATGTGTATCTTGCCTTGTATCTGGTGAGACGTGAAAAGTTTAAAAATATTGCAAACCTTGCAAAAAAAATCGAATACTTCGAGTTACAGCAATGGCATTTAAGAAATACCAATGTATACGTATATACTGGAAGTCATACAAAGGTGTGTTTAAATTCTGTCCTCCCATATATTTTTTATTGGTGTGCTTTCAGGAAAATTTTTATTTTTTGACGTTTCTCAGGAGGTAAAATGTTTTGATCTAATTCCAGGATAGCGGGATACAAATAGGAGTTTAACTGTTTCAAAAGGCAATATGTACAATTTTTGAAAGTGAAGAAATTTTTGGTGCTGATGGTGCAAGCGGTTTGTAATTTGGAGCCACCGTTCTCAAGTTATTCGCACAAACGTTTTCCAAACGCTATTTTCGAATAAACGAAATCTTCTCAACTTCATCAACTAATAACCAATTTATTTATCTATCATTTCATTTGAAAGCAAGTGAATTGCTCATAGTATCTTAAAAAAATCGCGACAATTTCTTAAAATTACATCGACTAATAAAAACGCTCAGGATGTAGCTCAAAACGGGATTCAGCCTGGTGGAAATTAAGGTCCACTTTTACCAACAGCAGAATCATCTCAAACTTTTCTTGTAATGTACCATACATTTTCATGGTAAGTACAGTAAGTCAGACAACGTAAAAATTTCAGTAATGATTTTCAGATAAGTGTTAGCTATGCATTAAAACATTTCAATTATATTATTTGGATTACTCAAAAGCCTTTGAAGTCAACAAAACAATTTTTATTCGCGCTCTGTTTATCAAGTAGTTTCTTTAAATTTGTATTTGTGAACTTAAATTTGCGCCAGGCTGAATCGCGTTTTAATAAGCTACATCCAGAGCATTTAATTTTTTTTTTAGGGGTTCTCAACAGCAGAGTCATACCAACCCCCGGGGTGCCGGTGTTTTTGAAAAATCCATTTGTAAGTATTTCGGGGTCGAATGCAGGACCTCTGGATTCGAACCCGGGACCTTTACCTTATAGTGATGAGAGCCTTAACGTTGCGGCCACCGATGCCCCAATAGTCTTTGAGGAAATTATTGCGAAGTTTTGAAATATGTGAAACAACTGATATACTAGCAATAAAAATGTTAAATAAATTCGTTATTGGTTGAATAAGATTTCTTTTTTCCGAACAACAATGATCGGATATAGTTTTTTTGTGTGAATTACTTGATAACGATTGCTCCTAATTAAAAACCGTTTGCACCATTGAAATCAGCGTCAAAAATACCCTTAAAAATGTACACTGATGATTGCCATTTGATAGTTGAGCTCCTATTCGTGACCCGTTATCCCGAAGAGAAACTTTTGCCTCATGAGAAGCTAGTCAAAGAATAAAAGTTTACGCCTCACGTGGTTTTTTACCAAAAACGCACCAGTAAAAAAATATGGGGAACTGAATTCTAATTACTCTGTTAGTGTTAGCCAGTTTTACAATGGCTGAACATCAAAAGTTTTGTTGTCCGTTAATATTAGGGGCATATGGGCAAGCCAGCTAATCGTGTTAAGTGTATCTACTATTACTAACAATGCAGCCAACTTATTTCCTTAGTCTGGTGAAAAATTAAAAAAAAAAAAAAAAAAAAACTATTCAAGTAAAATATGAGCCATCATCAACCAGGTATCGGATACATGGAATATACGCGAAAAAGAGCCAAAGAATTTTGAGACGCGAGTGTGCCATTTTGGTACTAATTTCTCGTAATATCTCGCAATCTTTTTAAAAGTCAGGCTTTTTTATTCACCATGTATCCACAATGGGTCAGAAAAGAAATAAAAATTAGATGGAGAAGAGATGGATTAAAAAGTGATCAACGCAGGCTAAAATCCCATTTCACCAACAAATTTCAAGCAAATCAATTATAAATTATTAACAAAATTATTCTACAATCTATGAAAAACCTGATTGAACACTTTAGGACATTAAGCATATGAACATCACGAAAGGTATATTCGTAAAATCTGACTAGCACAAAATCACTTTTAACAGGATAGAAATGTTACGTAAATTCATTAATTATACTAAATTAAAAAAAATTAATAAATCAACTAAATTGTCGTTATATTAATTTAAATGACGAATAAGGGATGTTACAGAATTATTCTTTTCAATTAAGGAAGTCATCCGAAATAATAAATAAAGCACAAATACAACGTATTGTATTATTTACAAGGTCGATTTAAAGTGTGGGAAAAGAAAATCAACCTCTTAATCCTGTTTCACCTGAGATAGCAAATCGATTTAAAAAGAAACAAATATTGGACAAGCGGTGGAAAACGTAAATATACAGAGGAAGATTTGATCCCGTTTCGGCCCCGCCAGACATGCCGTGCTGCCGGTGTTGCATGTTGTTTTCCGTTCTTTTTCCGACAACTTATAGAACTTACCACAGAATGGGGGAAAATACCCAAACCGATATTTACCCAGCATGGAAGCAAATCTGACAAGAGATGCTATTAAATTAAACGAATCTGAAACAAATTCTAAAGACTTTCATATATTCGCTGTTTAGTAAAGTTGAAAAGTGTAGGCCACGTGTATTAAGAAAAAGCTAATTTCTGTTTTGCACTAAAATAAGACAAATCAATGAAACAATTTTGCGTCACAACTGATAGAAATATACTATATTTTTATCATGAGATACAAAAGGTGACCACCCATATGGCTAACTCAAATATTAACGTACTTAAAAAATCTTTATATTATTTATATGAAATTTTTGCGATATGCCAAAACGGAAAGTGTCATCTACATAAAATGTTATCAAAAACTGTGTTCTATTTGTACAAAGAAACCATTGTCATTACATCATATCTGGACTCAGATGGTAGAAATCTCTTATTATTATTGAATGAATTGAGTTATTGAATGAAAATCAGTCACGATTTTTCACTATAACAAGTTGCGTTGGAAACAGGGGTTGGTGACCACTTTCTTAAATCAAAAGAAAAGATTAGCTGATTTGCAGATCCGACGGTTGCAAGTTAACCCTTATCACTTCAACGAGGGGGATAGGACATGATTGGGGTGTTACCATAGGAACCCAAGTTCCCATGAGAGAGGGGACGGGCGAAATTTTATTTTGGCTCCACCAACCCAATAACTATATTTTTAGAATGCACATATATCATGAATAAATCATATTTGAATTGTTCCTTAATTCAAATAACAAATACTATAGTGTACATATTGACAATACAAAGGGTATTGACGCAAACTGTGCTCATCGAGTTATCATCGCAAACAAGTTATTTCGGAACTAGTAGCACACTCGGCACTATGCCGGTCAAAATTAATCGAGTACCTCTTTCAAAAACCACGATATAGGATGATATGTGTGAATGTGGTCCTTTGCGGCACGTGAAAGGTTTAAAAATACACAAAAGGTGAAACAATCAAATGCTTCCAGTTCAAGAAATGCCACAGTACAATATTGATGTATCTATTTATGAAACTATAGTGGATAAATTAATTTTATAATAGCTAACAACTAAAATTTGCTCCTACGAGAGAGACGCAGACCCTCCAAGACCAAAACCGATGAAGGTTTAAAAAAAAATCTTGCTAATTAATTATAATACTACCACGGTCTGAAGGTTGTCAACCGGCAAGCTTACTATTTTGGTAAATTCTTGTAAAGTTAAGCTTTGGTCTACGAGGAAAGGAAGAAAGAAATCAGATTGAGAATCAAAGGATCAAAAAGTGGTCAAAGTGGGTTCAAATCCAATTCCTTCGAACGATTTCTATCGAAGCACATTATCATCTTTGCCTTTGACTAATTTTTGAAAATTGATTCGCAAACCTTCCCATATGAGAATTTCTTTTAAAGCAGCATTTAAAAGATAAATGAACTTTTGTTGTTTTAATATCCACACGGTTCTAAGTCTTAATTTCAAAATGATGTTTATTAGGCAAGAAGACTTAGGTGTGCTAAATTTTCATTTGATCTTTCTTAATCTCAACCAAAGTTTTAAGCACAAACCGA